GAAGAAGAAAGAGAGGAAACATGTTTCTCTTCAGAAAAGAGCACCTCAAATTACTTCTAAGTCGTCTGATACCAAAATACCTCAACTGAAAGAGCAAATCATCAACTGAGCATTTGAGAGATACAGAAGAATGAATATTTGCTGCCGGCTTCAGTGAAACTAGGCTTCATGAAAGGCTTTCACCACGATCTGTGAGAAAATTGAGTAATTCATAACACTGCAGTTTGTGTTGCTGTTTTACTTAGGATTATCTGCCCAATGTTTTGCGAAGGACAGGCAGTCACGTATGGAAATGCACATACAGATTTGAGGAAGTAAACCAAAATGTTGGCAGATAAGGTAGAAGAGACAGCAGATAGAGGGAACTCAAATTGTACAGCAAATCTGAAAGAAGATAAATGGATAATTTAACAGCCATTCAGTTTTCAAGAAAGATGAAGCACAAACTACATTGCATCAGAAAAGGACTAGAAATGATGATGGATGAGACACTTCAAGTAAGTGTTTAACACAACAGAATCACAGTTGCCTGCAGAATTCCCAGCTGAGGGCAAATTCAAAGAACTAAATGAGGATATGAGATTGATACGGTTTGAAAAGTTTTTCAAAATCCATTTGATAGTAAGGCAGAAGACACTGATTGGCTGCTTGGTTAAAATGTTGAAAGGAAAAGGGGTAGAAACATTTTGTATTTTGCATGCATCAGATGCAGAACCAAAACCATAAAGAGCAGAGCCAAACAAGTTATTTATGGAACTGTAACTCTTCTGAGTAAAACCTCAAATTATTATGAACACGTGAATCATTTGCAACTATAGCAACACATCTGTCAAGCTACTTCAGTAGGTACCCAGTCCCTCAATATTACTCTCCCCTTTGACAGCAAAGTATTGATAGTAGTCAGAGTACAGTTTGCTACCTGAAGACCTCTGTATCTATTTCCCTCCCTGAAGTATGCTGTACATCACACCACTGGACAATCAATTAAACCTCCTCTCAAATACAGTACTGTCATCTATTTCATCTGGAACCCAATGAAAACGTATGACACTGAATCAGTGGGGCAAATAATTAAGTCACACACACAACATCAAAAGGTTCACAGAACTTAATCTCTGATGCTTCTTTATATTGTATCTTCTACGTGCTGCCTACAGAAGGTAGAATTTTATCTGTCTTCTTTGGTTTCAGTACACAGGCTTGTGTGCAGAAATGCTTTTGGTTTTTCAAAACATCTTCCATCAAGTATATCATAAGGATCAAATCTTTGGATGACTGCAGTGCAGGTTCCCTTTTATCTGAACTGTTCTGAAGTTCAAGGATTTTCAGATAGATGGCTCACCTTTGGCCTACATATTCTTACATGAAAGCCACTTCAGCAAAACTCAGGAGTCCAATTCAGCTTTGCTGTAACTGGTCACTACTCTCTTGACTTCAGCAATGCTTCATGTGCTTATACACGAGGTCTGAATTTATCCCTGTGGCTCCTCGGTCACTAGTCCTCCCTTCCAACTCAGAAACTGCCTACATAATAAAAGTGATTCATTAGAAACCACTGGGTTCCAAAGCAGAGTGAACGCTGCGACCTATAACTTTTTGATATGTGCTCAGTCATAAAACTGAATTTATATGGTCTTATTCCATAAACTCACTTAACAAATATTAGACCCACAGCCATACTTCCACGAGTCATAATCTTGTCAAAGCGCGCAAGTTAAACAACTGGTCAATATTTGGGCGAGAACCTAAATAAATAAATAAAACAATACTCTGGAGGTACTGCAGTGTTTGTAAGCTGGGGCATGCTATGTTCCCCCTTAAAATGATGCCATATGACTCAAAGAGCACAACAGTGTTGTATTTGTGTAAGCAATAGTTAGCTTTCAGCCACATCTATGCTGCATCCTGGCTAGTTCAAACAATGTGTTTTCCAGAGATGAAGCAGATACTGATGCAGTCCTCTGTCCCCACCACCCTGGAGCCAGATGATCTACAAGCAGTACATAGTCACAGAAGTTGCCTATATCATTGAGGGTGGAAGAAAAAGTCAGTGCTATACAATAACTTTCTGAGAAACAGCTTAGTTACATACCTGAGGTAATGCATGCCTACAGAAGAGGACTGCAAATCTATTTAGCCTTTCCTAGTGCTGGAATGGGAGCCACTGGTGGGACTGCTGTCCCAGCATGCTTTATCAACCTGTGATAATGAGCAGCTATTACAGGAAAGGGGATGAAATGGGAAAGTTTCCAATCCCACACCAATCTCTGTGTAGCAAGGCAGCTGCACTGCACAGGAAGGAATGCCTGCAGGCAGGGGACAGGGACTCTGGATTTGTCCCACAGCCCACCTGCTGCACCACAGAGAATTGAGGAAAAGGGCCATTTCCAAAGCTTCAGCATTATTTGGAAGTATCCTATGTCAGACAGCCGTTGAAGACCAAACCTCTTCATATTGAAGTAAAGAATAAATTGGGCCTAAGAAGCTGAGTAGCAAATTAGACAGATCACTAGCAAAGCAGTTTGTACAAGGCATGCATCAAAAATAGAGGCATGGAAGAGCAGTACATCAAGAGGCTTTTGTGCAATAAAATCGAAAGTAAAAAGTGCAGCCAGGAGGCAGAAAACCCTGACTAGGTTACAGCCAAATAAACCTAAATAGCTTTAGGAATAAATTGGTGATTTAATCCAGATCAGGAGCAGGTGCTCTGAATGTAATTCAGTAAATGGTCAAGAACCTGCCAGAAGGGAGAGAAATGTGTTGCTTTTGAGATAATTTCCCAAAAGCTTCATAAAAGAAAATTGATTACTGGTGTTTAATAATTAAAACAGAGCCAGAAATATAGCAATCAAATGAGTTTTTAATTACATCTCAAGCAGAAGTAAAATCCAATTTGTGTACTTTGTACCAGAAAAGTCCTACTGAAATGCTTTGGTAACTGGAAGAAAAATAAAAGCTAATTTCCATAGGAATTATAGTAGTTGGTTTAATTAAAAGACCAGATCAGAATGAAAGAGTCTTGAAGTGAAAGGATACTAAATCCAGAAGCAGCGGTTTGAACATCAAATCAATGTCTGAATAAAGATATTTCATGGAGTAAGTGCAAAATCTGCACTTTTGAGTAGCCCTGATCTAAATTAGTGTAGAACAAAATAAAGTTTTTTAAAATTACACTATATATTTTTGTCAGCATTCCATAGAATTAATTGCTTGTACTGTGGTAAAACTGAATATCAAAGACATGGTTTATTCCTTCTAAAATATTCCTCTTGACTTATTTTCATCACAGTTAATGTTATTAGTTAACCATTCTGGTTATTTATCTGGTTATGCATATCTAACAAACAATTTATTTTCGGACTTTACAGCTCATAAGATTCAGTGATTATGGGGTGCAGCTGCTTAGAATCACAGAATCATCAAGGTTGGAAAACACCTCCAAGATCATCTAGTCCATCCATCCACCAATCAGCAGTATTTCCACCACTAAACCATGTCCTTTAGTACAACATCTAAACATTTCCTGAGCATCTCCAGGGAAGGCAACTCAATCACCTGCCAGGGCAGCCTGTTCCAATACCTCACCACTCTTTCAGAGAAGACATTTTTCCTAATATCCAGCCTGAACCTCCCGTGGCACAACTTGAGGCTATTCCCTTTCATCTTATCACTAGTTATGCTGGAGGAGAGAACAACTCACAGCTCTCCACAATCTTCTTTCAGGTAGCTGTAGAGAGATATACTGCTTCTGGTCTCCTAGGGCTTTGGGTGTCTATGGCTGCAGGCAGTGCATAGCCAGTTGGCTTCAGCATCTCAGGCACCCACAGTCCTCCTGGCACCCTTGGTTGTGGGGCGAGATGCAGACATGCACATCGAAGGCTTGTCGTCTCCTACCAGCAAGCTTAGGAGATGGATGCTAGCTTTGCACACACACGGAAAGGATCTGCTAAGTTGCCATCAAAATGAGAATGCCTGCAGTGTTGGCAGAGGCAGTGCAGGCATCAAGGACAACAGCAGTGAGATCCTTAGAGAGGTCTAGCATGCATTACTCCCCTCCATTTTTGATTCAATTAAACCAGGTTTGGGGAATACATAACAGTCTGGAATATGGTGCTCAAAAGAGGGAACCGTGAGGTCTGGTGATAGGAGTGTTACTCACGCACAGCCATCCCAAAAATAGCATGAATGCCACCAGAGAGCAGTACTGTCCGTGGCAGAGACCACTGTCAGCTTTGCCTCTTACTCCAGGCCCAAGGTTGCGTAGGTCCTCACCACACTCTCAGCAAATAATTTTAATTAAATTTGCTTTAACTTCCACACAAATCAGCTACTTACTCACGGCATGATTTTATAGAAGTGCTGAGCATTCATATTTCCTACTGAAGTCAACTGAAATTGCACTTTTTCAGCACATCTTAAGATCAGACCATTAACCCTTAATTATAATATAATAGCTCAATTAAAAATTTACCAAGACTTACTTCAATAGCTAGCCAAACTACACAGTTTGCAAGCTAGCAATAAAACATTCAGTTCTTAGTGGTGTGTGGGCTCTGGGGGCCATTTAAACTAGCTGTTGTTAAACCTGCTATTTAAAGCAGAGAAAAAAAAAACCAACAACAAAACTCCTTGCCTTCTCACTAGTTCATAGGCAGCAAGCAGGAAGCCCCAGACACTGGGGATGCTTCAGAAGGACCATCTTCAAGGCCTACAAGAAAGCCAAAGTAGTTGAACAGCAGTTTTGCCACTTTATGTGGTTTTTGTTTGTTTGTTTGTTTGTGTGACATTTTTGGTGGATTACTTAAAGCCTCAGGTCAAATGAGTATAAGATAAAGAAATCCCAAACGAAATGAAAAACCTTTACCTACAAAGAATTTACAACTGGAGGTGAGAAGGGTGAGGGCACAGTGCAGATCAGGTTCTTTTTATCACGTAACTCCCTGGACCATCCACCAGCAGACTGGAAATACTAACTTTTTTTCCTCTCTATTTTTATCCAGTGTCTTGTGAAGCTGAATGTGAAACTGAAGCCTATGCTGGACTCTGTGGCAGTAAATAGAGGTAAATGGGAGGAGTTGCACCAACAAAGACTTCCTTCTCAGGCAGCATCCTCATCCTCCTTTTCCTCTACCTTTACCATGTCTCTCAAAGACATAAATTAAGCCTGCAAATGTCAGTGTCTATTTATGATAAAAGCCGTCTGAAAGGATTTCAAAAGCTTTGGCACACCATTTTTTTTATTTATTTTTTTTTTTTTTAAAGAAACATTTTCACAGATATGCTTAATTGATCGGATGGTATCTTGATGGCAGCCTGGTTTGCTATTACTTCCCTTCTGAAGGGAAGGCCTGCAGCAAGATTACACTGGTTTCCAAAGCGACAAGAACGACTTAGCACAAGAAACATTCATTCAGCTCTGCTACATTTCAGCTGCTACCATAAAAATCTGTAAAACTGACAACAGACTGAAATATAAGAACTCACAACTTAATAAAATTAATAATACAGAGCAGAACTGCAATATGAGGTGGTCAATTCATATGCAAGGAGCTGCAGGAAAACACAATAGTATGTAATTGCATTGTTGTTTTGCATCTCTTCAGTACAGTTATGAATCCATTATGCCTGCTTTTGTGATGTTCCTCTCTTCCTTCCTCTTTTATGCCTAGATGTTCTGAGAAGCCTGCTTTGTATTCTAAAGAAGTATTTTTTTACAACAACGCTTCTTAGTGATTGATCAGGGCCTTTAGAATTGCCTACCTTTGCTACATTTAAAAACAAACTTTATTATCTTTCAAAATACCAATCTGTCCCTGCTTCCCTGAGAAATTCATATTAACAATGCAGTAAATTTCTCAGCAAGGGGAAGCTTGCATTAAAACAAAATACTGCATGCTAATTTTAGAGGTTGTTTTTTTTTTTTTAAATACACCTTCAGCATTTTTTTTTTTTTTTTTTTTTTTTTTTTAAATTTACAGTGTACCCTAAGGGAAAAAGTAATGGGCTTCAATGAATATAGAATAAAAAGGAAATCTGCTGCCTTATGCTTCAGGTTTATATTAAATTGAAAACTGGACCATGGATGAACCTCTCTAGTATAATTTGCAGTGGAAATGAATATTTTAAAATGGTAAAGTCAAAGAATATTATCATACTGAACTGACTACCTCTTACTTTTCTTGCAGTACTCTCAGTACACTTTAAGATGATGTTATTACAGCTAGCACAGCGCTAGGCTCACACATAAACATCTGTGGTAGAGGGGTTCTTTAAAGTTCAATCAAAACCAACAGGTCACAAAACCAAATGCGTTCAGCTCTGTGTGATGACACTGATACTATGTGAAAGTTGGTCTCCTTCCATTAGTGCACAGATCACTAGTGCAGCAAAGCTATGGCATCTGAACTGAGGACGCCTTCTCTGCTGCGTGATGGGACCCAAGAGGAGTCATGTTGCAGCGCTTAAGAGTTCCCATTCATGGGAGAAGAAAAGCCTTTGTACTCATTGAAAATGCCATAGTGAATATAGGCTTGTCTGGCAACCAAAATTAAAGCTGAATTTGGCTACATTTTACACCTGCGATGATGTTCCTTTGCTTCATTGAATAACCTTGAACTGGCACCAGCTTCACAGAAACCAGAACCTGGCTCAACCAAGTGAATGCCAAAAAGAGCCTCCCTGCTTCCCTGGGAAAAGGAGTCCTTAGCACCTTTGAAAAGCTGACATCTGTCTGACAGTCAAACAGAAACAACAAATCTGCTGAGCGCTCCCTTAAGTAAAAACACAGCCCAAAACAAAACCAAAGTCCTCTGTGCTACCAATCACGTGTACAGGGGAATAGGTGGAAGTTTCAGTAGCCTTACAAACCAACCTGTTACCACGCAACTGAACCACATCACCTTCTCTATCCAGTGAAGCTGCGTAGGAGCAGAAATACAGAATGCACAGCAGTGAACGTACACATAAAATGGAAATGCTTCTGCTATTATTTTACCAGGTTTTTTTCTTTCCTGAATAAAGATAGATGCAGGATAGTAAACAGCAAGATGTGTAACTTGTAATGCATACTTTATGGGGGAAGCAGACACCAGGAACTGACACAGTACTGCTGGCTGGTACACAGAGCTTTCCTGAATTTTGATATCGCATATTGCTACGTGTAACATAATTTACAGCACATATCCTGAAGCTTCCCCCAAGGTTGAGTTTCCCCTCGTTTCCTCTCCTTTTTATTGGCTTCAGTGCGCTGTTGCCCATGGCAACTCCCACGGCAGTGATGGGAATTCAGCCCCGCACCACCTGACATCCAGCTGAAGCTCTAACAATGTCAACCATCAATCAAGTGACTGTTTGTAATTGCCTCCATCTATTTCTCCTGTCTTTGGGTAGCTTGGCTATTGTGGGTCAAAATCCAGAAAGTGCTGACTAATGTTATGGTTCTGTTCCTCCATCACATGGAAGAAAATGAGAGAGCACAGTTAGATCTTTATCAAATTGTTCTCAGGCAAAATGAGGCAGCCCTGCTGAAATCAGTGGGGTCACAGCAGCATATCACAGAGCAGAATTTGGTGTCTGAAAGTTATACAGTTCAATACTATTATTTTATAAAAGCTTTTTTTTAATATATATACAGCTTAGGAATCAGCAAAAGATCCACATTTTGGAGAGAAAAGGAAAACTCTTCATGGAAGCAAAAAAGAACCATATTCCAAGTTTCTCATATTAAAAAGGATAGAAAACAGTTATTAATGAGTGCTTACAAGCTTTATAGGCAGACACTGTATCTGCTTTTCATTCTCTCTGACTCCAAAACATTCTTCCAGCAATTTGGTCAGTTTTGACACTGTCCTGAGACACACACAGCACAGATGAGATGACTGGGGATTATGAAGTCTGAATTCTTTTTTTTTTTTTTTTCCCCCTCCTTTCCCTGCCCAATGCACAAGATCACAATGCATGAGATAGGCTCCATGGTTGCATATAAAGCACAGGGCCAGCAGGGTGAGGACAAAGGCAAGCAGGACGGAGATCCCACTGTTACCTAGGCCAGTGCTGGGAGATTGCTGCTTGGCCTCCCCCTGCAGATACCCACCACATGCAGTGGCTCAGTGACAGAGGAGTCCTCAACTTCTCTGCCCCTGCTGTCAGTGGAAATTTTGCCTGCAACAGGGACTCAAGAATTTGCAACTACAGTGCTAAAATGGAGTTAGCACAAGGTGCATCCATAGGAGCTGCATTCTCCTCAAAGGTGCTCTGATTCAGTTTAGTTCTAATGCAGTCTTCAAAAATAGTTCAGGCCAGGCAGCATTTCCACTCAGGATTCCCACTTGTGAGACTGCTTACCAAAATGAACCCTTCCTCAAGAAGGAAGAAAAGATCTAAACGCTATAGCATCACCTAGGACAATCAGGAAGATACCTGGCATTCAGATCCTGTTTGATTCAGAGCGAGCTTCAAACTACAGGTGCACCTTGCTCCCCAGGAGGAGGCACAAGGGCAGCCTGTTTCTGCCCTCCTGCTGAAGCCCTTTACTCATGCTTATCGAGGAGATGGGACAATCAGCTGTATGGTTCCTGCTTCATGCCTGGGGAGCTGCACAAGGCAAAAAAGCATTGGTAGAAGAGCTCAGGAGGGGCTCCAGTGTGCATCCTCCTAGGTTAAAGAAGAGCCCAGCAGTACAACTGTGCGACCCCACCAGGAAACCAAGTACTGCCCAAGGCTCAGAGAACTTGAACTGGAGACTCTCCTACGGAGCAGACAGAAGAAGGATTTCCCACCTCCTGAGAATGAGACAACCAAGAGGTACTAGCCATAAAAGACAGTTTGCCCCAAAACTCTGATCAGGCCTTTCTTCCAGCCTGGGACCCACAAGCAAAATAAAACTTCCTAACTCGATCAAGACCTAGACAGCTGCTTCTGGCAGGACAGTTTGGTGTCACATACAAGGTTAGGCAACAGTACCTCATGAAAGTTTAATCTGGATGCCTAATGTGGCAATCAGACACGTAACTCCCCATGCAGCTCTGTCTTAACCAGCTTGCTCTCCTTTGCCAGACCAGGGATCTTGCTGAGAAGGTCATTAGTATGTTTAGTACCCTGCTGAAAATAACTAGAGCGTAGATGAGTGTGTTTCTTTTTAGCTCAGGTATTCATTCAGATGGTGTCCTTGGTATAGCAGCTGCATTCTTGGGACTGGTGTCCTTGCTAATTGCTCCTCCTTATAGTGCACTGCTATTTCATAATGTGCCTGTAGTTATCAGCAAAAGCCAATACTAGTATTCACAAACTGCTTTTGAAAACTGCAACCAGCAGTGCCTAAGATATATTTGTAATATTTAGACTAATTGATCCTAATAGAAAAATGGGAGTGTTTCAGTCTACAGGCCAAATATTTATTTTTCCCTTCGTACAGTTAAGCAATCGGAGTTACAGACAGTTTACGCATTGAGTGCAATTTTAAGACAGGTTTATTTTAAGGCCATGTAAAATATTAATAGACACTTCCAATGCTTAGAGAGATCTGGGAAAGAAAATGTAAGAGTAAGACTTCTTTTTTTCATTGGCTTTGTCAAAGAAACTGATTATTTCAATAGTAAAATGGTGTGAATGGTTTCTAAGAAAACAGAATTTGAGGTAAATAGCAGGCGAAATGAGAGATTTTCATTATCTGAATGTGACAGTATTGAAATCTGTACTGTGTATTGATCTATATCTTTTCTTTCTTAGAATATCTCATATTTAATTACCGATTTATAAGCGTGTTGGAAACTGCATCTTACAGTAGAGTGGAGAGTACCACTGTGAGCTTTGAACCTTCATGTATGGGCAACAACAGACACATGCACACAAACAGTGTGTGCACTTTCTAATGAAAGTGGATCCTACTTACTTTTGAAAATGCACAATAAATATCCTTGCCCCCTTTTTCCCTTCTGCATTTTAAGATCATTTCCCTCACTGTTTTGCTTTAGTAGATCAAACAACGCTGATTCAGCTTTTTAAAGCATGTTTTTGAAATTAACAATTTGGTTTTATTGCTCTCTCTAAAAAATAAATAAATAAATCACTTAATTGTTCCTGTGATTTTGACTTTTGTTTGTTTCATTGAAAGTGACTCGTCAGGATGAATCAGAGCTGTATATATTGATTTGTGAATCACACAAATAGAAGAACAATGAAAACACATGGAACCAAACAGCTCAAATATAACTTCTGAAACATGACCTTGCAGCAGTCATTCCTGGGAAGAAACCTAACTTCACCCGCTGTGCTTGGCACTGTTAGGGAACGACCAGAAACCAGATCAGGCCAAAGACCTCAACAGAACTATTTACTTGTATAGAAATCATATACATTAGTACAAGTCAGTGACACCAGATGTAGCACTACTCAATAGAAACACCATATCTACTTCCCTCCAATGAAAAATTACTGCTGAAATAAGCAATTTCAGAAAAGTAAGAAAATATTTGATCTACTCCTTTGAAGTAGGAGAGCTGTCATATTCTATTAAGATACAAACATCCTTCCATCAGCTTTCACAAATTTAAGCTCTTAATGTATTGTAAAAGGGAAATTTCATATTCACAGAGTACAGTGCATCAATAAAGTACTTCCCATCTTGTGTCCCAAGGTTACATGTTTAACTTAAGGCTTTCTCTTACAGTGTAACTGCTCAGAAATACTTAAGGCTATTACTGAAGATTTATTAAAAAAAAAAAAAAAAAAAAAAAGATTTGGAAAAAATGTATATCAGTAAATTTATTTAATTTTACTTTTTGTTCTTCTCAGCTTCAGGAAATACTGAACTGAGGAAAATATTCAGCTCTAGGTAGTATTTTAAGGACAAGAGATCTATTCTAGCTGATGTGGATATTATTATTAAACATTTCAGTTTGCTGCTTAAAAGATAAAGCACAAGGGGGAAAACAGAAAGCAGGCAAATATAGATAATACAATTTCTTTATCTGGCATAAGGTCTCATTTGCGTCACAGCTGCTAGAAAAACAAGGATGCAGCCATGGCAAACCCATCTCGTTCTGGCACTGAGAACCTACTTAGCACTGCTACCAGTAATTAGCACACAGCAGGGGCTTGAAAGCACTGTAATAAACAATGAGGAGGAGAAGAAGAAATGCTGGGAAGGCAGAGGGGACATAAAAGCATGCAGTCACGGGCATCCGGCACTCGTATGCATCTGGTGCTGCACAGAGCACAGCTGCAGCCCACAGCCCCCTCACCAGCACAGTCAAACAGCAGCATCCAGGCTCAGCACTCCCACAGCAGCAAGTCCTGATTCACTCAGATCCACTTCTCCCCATCCCATGCTGCCCGGTGTGCCTGAGGGGCGGACACAGCTGCATTTACCAGCGCCTCCACCTTGGTGCAGCCCTGTCCTAACCCTAGCTACACATCCCTTCCATTCCCTGCTGCTAGAGCGCAGACGAGGCCAGTGAGGGTAGCACACCGCTGCCCTGGTGCTTCGGCCTTTCCAGAGAGCTGAGCAGGGTGAGCAGAGGAAGCCGTTTTCCCCAGAGTGACAGATGATGGCGATTCTCGGTGACTGGAGGCAGCTGCTCCAAGTCGGTGATCAGATCCGTGCCGCTAAGTACAGAGGCCAGAGATGGCGTACGTTTGTTTAGCAGCTGAATTTAGCCCCTACAGCGGTTTGCACGGAAGCACGAGCTGCGCTTGGGGGTACAGAAAGCCTTTTAGTGGCTTAGGTCTGTCTTGATTAGAATTGTGTGGCAATTCACGGCCTGCGGGCGCTGGGCGGAAGGGTGGCCCAGCCTACGGGCCGTCCCCACAGGAGGTACCGGCGCAGCGTGGAGCCCCACAGCCCACGCGAAACGGCCCGGGCCGACTCCTGCCTCGGCGCGCCGCACTACAACTCCCAGCGCGCCCCGCGCCGAGCCTATTGCCCGCTTCCGGCGCGGGAGTACTTCCGGCGCGGAGGCCGTTGCCACGGCAGCGAGGGGCGCCGCACGGCTTCGCCCATCGCCTGCTTCCGGCGCGGCAGCTATGGGGGCTGCGCCGGTGCCCGACGGGCAGTACACGGCCGCGGTGTACGGGCTGATCCGTGCCGGACGCTGCGGGGAGGCGACGGCGCTGCTGAGCCGCGAGCTGCAGAGGAGCAGCCGCTCGCGGGGCGGCCTCTCGCTGATGGGCTACTGCTACTACCAGCTGCAGGACTTCGCCGCGGCGGCCGAGTGCTACGAGCAGCTGGCGGCCCTGCACCCCGAGCTCGACGCGTACCGCCTGTACCTGGCGCAGGCCCTCTACAAGGCCGGGCTGTACGCCGAAGCGCTGCGGGCCGCCAGCCCGCTGCTGGACCGGCCCGCCTACCAGGGCCGGGCCCTGCGTCTCCAGGCCGCCGTCCACTACGCGCAGGGCGACCTGGCGGCGGCCAAGAGCCTGGTGGAAGAGGCGCTGGCCGCAGACAGCGGCCTCGGGACGGCCGAGGACCCCTCGGAGCGGGCAGACGCCGAGATCAACCTGGGCTGTCTGCTCTACCGGCAGGGGCGGCACGAAGAGGCCGGCGGAAAGTTTGCAGGTGCCATGCAGGTGCTGGGCTACTGCCCGGAGCTGTCCTACAACATGGCGCTCTGCTGCTATGCCACCAAGCAGTACGCCCCTGCCCTCAAGCACATCTCCGATATAATCGAGCGTGGCATCCACCAGCACCCCGAGCTCAGCGTGGGCATGACCACCGAGGGCATCGACGTGCGCAGCGTGGGCAACACCCTGCTCCTGCACCGCACGGCCCTGGTGGAGGCCTTCAACCTGAAGGCTGCCATCGAGTACCAGCTGCACAACCTGAAGGCGGCCCAGGAGGCGCTCACTGATATGCCGCCGAGAGCCGAGGAGGAGCTGGACCCGGTCACGCTCCACAACCAAGCGCTAATAAACATGGACACCCAGCCCACAGAGGGCTTTGAGAAACTGCAGTTTCTTTTGCTGCAGAACCCCTGCCCACCAGAAACCTTCGGAAACTTGCTGCTCCTCTACTGCAAGCATCAGTACTATGACTTGGCAGCTGACGTGCTGGCAGAGAACGCCCATCTAACCTACAAACTGCTCACACCTTACTTGTACAATTTCTTGGATGCTGTTATTACTTGTCAGACTGCCCCTGAGGAGGCTTTCCACAAGCTGGATGACGCAGCAGGGATGCTGACCGAGCAGCTGAGGAAACTCACAAAGCAAATACAGGAAGCCAGGCAAAACTGGGATGATGAAGCTGTAAAAAAGGCTGTTAATGAGTATGATGAGACTTTGGATAAATATATACCCGTGTTGATGGTCCAGGCTAAAATTTATTGGGACATGAAGAACTACACAATGGTAGAAAAGATTTTCCGCAAATCAGTGGAGTTCTGTAATGAACACAAGGTATGGAAGCTCAACGTGGCTCACGTACTTTTCATGCAAGAAAACAAGTACAAAGAGGCTATTAGCTTCTATGAGCCAATAGTTAAAAAGCACTATGATAACATTCTTAATGTTAGTGCCATCGTGTTAGCTAACCTCTGTGTTTCCTACATCCTGACAAGCCAGAACGAAGACGCAGAGGAGCTGATGAGGAAGATTGAGAAGGGGGAAGAGCAACTGTCCTATGATGATCCTGATAAAAATATCTACCATCTTTGTATTGTCAATCTAGTCATTGGTACTCTTTATTGTGTGAAAGGAAACTACGACTTTGGTATTTCGAGGGTCATTAAAAGCCTGGAGCCATATAACAAGAAACTAAGCACTGATACATGGTATTATGCCAAAAGATGTTTTCTGTCCTTGCTAGAGAACATGTCCAAGCACATGATCATGTTACGTGACAGTGTCATTCAAGAGTGTGTCCAGTTTCTGAAGCAATGTGAACTGTATGGAAGAAACATCCCAGTTGTCATTGAGCAGCCCCTCGAGGAGAACAGGATGCACAGTGGGAAAAATACCGTTACATACGAAGCCAGGCATTTGAGGGCACTGATGTATAAAATTGTGGGATGGACTGCATGAACAATGTTCCTGTACAGTACAAAAAAAGAACCTTGTGTCTGTTTTTTCCTTAAGCTTGTGAGATGATGTTCACCCTGGTATAGTTTTCTTGATTGCTTATATTTAAAGATTTGTATCCTGTATTTCAACAACATTCAGTGTAACATTAAATATATGCTCAAATTGAACATGTACGAAGTAATTGGAGGCATTCTCAGTTATGTCAAATACGCCTTAAGATGAGCTGATCAAGAATTTCACTACAGAAATATCATAGAACATTTTATAGGTGAAAACTCTATCCCCGTGACAGTTTGACCAAGTTTCTTTATGTTAATTGGCAGTTTAAAATAATTTGCAATCCATCTCTTCTAGCACAGACACTGAAGAAACAAAGTTCTCTAGTTTGTGCCAGTGTGTGAAAAGTTTCTCTTCTGCTTTTTCTGAGGTATTCTTAATATGTTGCACATTATGTTGATTGTATACTCAAACATTAAAAAATGGCTTTGTAATTAAAAAAAAAAAAAAAAAAAAAAAAAAAAAAACTGCAAGAAATATATTTTCCTAACTCAGTAATCGTACGTGAGTATTCATGCAAGTTGAAGATGTAATACAAGGACTAAGAATATATTTGGAGGAGGATATGGTAGGATTAGGAAGACGGAGCTGAGTTTTACAGAAAACATAGCCCTTTCTTTCTCCCACAAAAGCTACAAGAGACTGCTGCTGGAGAGCACTCTAATTGCATGTTGTGTTAGCAGGATAACTACATTCCTACACCTCCGAAAGTAAACTAGAGGGTAAGTATCAAGCCTTAAGACAGGCACCCTTGTCTCCCCCTCCTCTACTGCAAAGCCTCACGCCCCTGTGCCAGGGCCTGCCAAGTAGCAGCTGTTGCCCTGCAGATCTGTTTGGCAGCACGTGCTAACTCAATAAGCAGCCCTTCCTTTGAAGCCTAGGCTGCCCCTTTGATCCAAACACCACTCTTAAAGTACGCAGCATCTGATAGAAGACCCTACAAATGTGCAATTATAGTTTCCATAGTTCTCAAAAAGCATATGATTTCATGTGAAATATATCTCTTCCACACATCATATCTCTCTCACATTTCATGTGAAACACATCTTGTATTAGATGAAAGAAATCCACTCTTCAGTTTCCTCTTTGTATTACTTACAATTCCTGCTTCTCTAATATCTCTCTGAAATCCTATTTATTCCTTATCATCTCCATCACATCCTATTATCAAACAATTTATTTTATCCTGTGTTCCAATACCTATTTCACACACAATACATGTCCTACACAAACTGAGCAAACACATTCTAATCAAAACACCTTTCACTTTAGTTTTTTAAATAGCAGTCAAATATCCGTCGCATTTGCTTACCTTTGATCCAGGCTCCCTGAGAAGTTGTTGTGGGTGAATTTCAGAATCAAACTGCAGGTCTCTCTGAATCCATTTTCCATACCATGGTTTACCTGCAAAGAAAGGACAATGTTCTGGAAAGTTGCCCTCCTGGCAAGTAATTGGATACTTAATCCTTGCAGGGTGTAAATGGAGATTGAGCACACCTGTGAACCATTGCAACATAGCAAATCTCCTTCACTCCGAGAGAGAAACTCAACATGGCTAAGCATATCCCCTATATCTAAGAGAGATGGCTGTGGGTTAGTCAGTGTTACAGTTCATTCCAAAATTCCCATAACAAAGTAAAATCAAATCTAGCACAGCTGTCTTCAGTGTCAACAGTGAGAAAATGTTCTGCTGGGGGCAGATGAAAAAGTAGGCAGCAGTATGTAGCAAGGTGCCCTGAAATGGCCTCTGTAGCTTATTACCGGTCCATAAAGCCATCCAGGCCCTATTAGGATGATATTAAATATTTTCCACAACCGAGGAGACCTGTGATTTCAAATCTTGTTCACCTTCATGAAACACAGCAGCAAGCTGTAAAGTATGTTTTTAATTTACAGTGGAACTGTATTTTATATTATGCAGCACAAACAGCATGACCTTTAAAAAGAGGTCTTCAGGAGTCACACCTCGTAACAGAGTACGAAGTACAAGCTGTGGGCCCTGGCTGAGAGAACACCAGAGCTTTGTCTAATACTCGTTGCATGTATTCCTTAAAAGTCATTGGACATTTGGAAAGAAAAAAAAAAAAAATCACATTGCTGACTGGTATCAGCATGAACACTGAACATTCAGACAGGATGGAAAGCAAGTTAGACATGTATCCATGGCGAGTTCTGATGCACCTCTCCTATTCCCATCAGCTGCTGGCACAGGATTCTCAGCCACAGGGACAAAGGGAGCTGTGTTCCCTGCACTGTGTCTGCCTTTCCTGTTCCACCCAATTGTAAGGGACCAACACCCCTACACCTGCAGCAGTGCAGTCTACAAAGCAGTATCTCCTCTCCTGGAAGGGGATGCAGCTCAGGCAAGTGGCTCTAACACACACCTAGTGATGGCAGTGCTTGTGAAACGCATTGTCTGCGGTCCACAAAAGCAACATGCTCAGCTACAACACAGAAACAAACCGGTGCAGCAGCTGGAAAGCTCTGCTTATAGGAAGCTCTCTAGAGCCAAAATCAGCTTAGGATTTATTGAATAATGAGCTGCTTTCCGTACTTAGGAAAAAAAAAAAAAAAAAAGAAAAAAGAACCCCCCCCACACACACAAGCAAGGAAATGGAAATGGAGCTCCTCTGTTGTACAGGATGCGAGTGTTTCAGAAAGTGTGGCTAGAGGGCACTCCACATCTCCAGAATGCGCTCTGTCCTATTGCAACAAATCAGGCAGACCAACACAAACACCGGAAAACCCTGAGAAAAATGTCAGCAGCAATATTTCCGCCATTCTTCCCTTACGTCACATTTTTATCTGCTTTTCCTCTCAAGGTGTGGTGTGCTGCCAGGACTGGCCTGTACCTAACCCATGACTTCTTAGTGAATTCAGTGATGCTGAATGTGATGAACCCAAATGTCAGGAGGCCTCTGGTGCCAAAATGAGAGAGGGAAGAGGCAGAACTGAGACATGCCAAGAGAGGATCTGGGACGCAATTCCTCCTCTACTGCTACATTGGGACTTCATGCAACGCATGTGCTGGATCTCCTCTACCCTGCAGCATTTCCACTCTGAGCACAAAGCCAGCTTCTCAACAGCAGGCACCCAGCCCCTCCATGCCTAGGAGAGATGCCCAGCCTCATGCTGTCTGCTGTCCCTGGGAGCTGCCCACCCCTGTACCAGAGCGCTGGTTCCTGCTGGTGTGCTGCTTCCACAGTGCCTCACTGCTTGCTGTGCAAAGTGTGCGGTTATGGCACTTCTAGCTACAAAGCACTTGGTCATGAAAAGCTTATAAACATTACAACCAGTTTTATTACTATCTTTATACTGCATTTAATGTTTCCCTATATGACTTAGACACAAAATACATTTACAAAGGAAGGCAAATACAGTTTTATTTGGAAGGAAGGGAGGACACCAAATAATGGTTTATGCTCCTTAGAAATAAAGTAATGCATGTCTAAATTAACACCCTGTGCTAGCACAGTTCTTTTGTCCCTAACCAAAAATCATTAATTCTGTTTAAAAGACTGCAAAGAAAAACCACAACCCAGAAGGAGCTACTAGAGCTGAGCAGAGCAGAGACAGAGGGTACTGGGGCCACTTGTGGTCAGCTCTGCAGTCAGAGAAAAAATATTGGGAATGAAGGGATGGCTAACTTTACAATAAGACATAGAAGATGAAACAAAAGATTCTTCTTAATGTATAGTTGTGAAGGAGCATGACTAGAAACTTCTTCAGAGGAGATATGGGTATTTCTGTAGGGTAAACAAGCCCTATTAGTAGGTGAATGAGGAGAGGAATGCTATTACATTTTACATATTACACGCAAGAATAAAAACTGATCTGGGTTTCACAGCATCTTACCACATCCTATCCTAGGCACCTGAGTTCAAAGCTGCGTCCTCCAGCAAAGACAGCAGAGTTCAGCCCTAACTGATGGTTTGCAGATCCGGGCACAGTGTGACAATGTGATTGTGTGGGCTGAAAAATAAGCACTGAATGATCTATCTTCACCTGTCCCTTCATGCTTCACTTCCTTCATCTCCCTTTGGCCTTTCAGCAGATAAAACCTTCTCTAAAGGCCTCTGCTAAATCTTCTGTCTCAATACAGTAAGGAGCAGCTACCCTTGGGACAGAGCACACCTTCACAGCACGGTGAAGATGCTGCAGCCTGGTTAGTCTCAGAGGAGTCTGGCTGTTGTGGGGTTTGCAAAAAGGGCTGAAATTCTCCCCACTTTGGGCAAGCTGTTGCTAGTTGGTAATGGAAGGAGTACCAAGTGTGCACGCATTCTACTGCAGAAAAATATCAAGACTGAGCTGCTTCAATGAACAACTGTTTTCAGTCCTCTGCCTCTTGTTCGGGCAGCGTGACGTAGCTGAAGCTCCCAGAAAAGCAGACCTAAATAAAGTAAAAGAGGCACTGGGTCCTGACAAACTTCGGGGATTTATTCTCACTGAAAGAATTCCTTTTTTGGCTGACACTTTTCCATTAAGCATAGAAATTGAGACATTTGGACTCATTTCACAAAGAACCTCAATTAGCAACACTTTCCTACAACGTGCCTGAATTTAAGCAACATTGCCCCATCTTCAAGCAGACATTGCCAAATCCAACAGCTTCAGTCCAGAACATTTCTATTCTGGGGCTCTTTAAATTCAGTTGAGCTCATAGCCCAAACCAAAACTCAGCGAAGCCAACAAGTTCCCTTTGACTTCAGTCAAATTAAATGGACACCTGAGAAAATGCCCATTCTCACAGACTGCTATCCAGGCCATCCAAGAGCAGTGAGTGCCTGGTGCTGAAATGTTAGAATCCTGGCCAAGCTCAGTGAAAAAAAGCTCATTTCCACCCACTTAAAGCACAGCTTAGAAAACTGCACACCCCGCATTTCTCATGGTGTGGCTGCTCCACATTGGGAAAACGTGGCTGTTGCAAAATGCGGGGTGCAGGCCTGCAGAGGTCCTGCTGCCCGGTGTGGGACTGCTATGGTGTGGGATCTCCCCAGCTGCCATCAGAGCATGCACTCCAAATTTCTCCTTCAACACATGGGAATTGTCGCCTGGCATTGTGAACTTTTAAACTTTCTGGAGTGAATTTATGCGCTGGCTTTGAGTGGGCTGAGCTTCTCCAGGGTGTTTTTGTCTTCTATTGCACACAATCATCCTCTTCACTGAATTTCATCTTTTTTTTTTAACTGCTCACCTTACCTCTCCCCCTCCAGCTCTGCCTCTAGGACCTTTGCCATCCTGTGTCACAAGAGAGAAACAGGTTGACTAACAACATTTTATGAACCGTTTTTATTTTATAGCCCTCTTTCCCGTGGGAGAGGGCAAAGGAGTTGGCTAACACTCAGATCCCTTTGGGTTGAACTGTCCTCCAATGGTCGTCTTCCGAATTAAAAGCAACACAGCTTAGT